GGGATGCTTATCTGAGAGGGTTCTATTCCAGCACAGACTTAAAGGAGGAGAGGGAGGCATGTGAACAGAGAGAATTCTAGGCCAGAGGAACAGCTAGTGCAAAGGCCCTGAGGCAGGACTGTGCCTGCCACATCTAAGGGGCCAATGTGGCTGGGGAAGAGTGAGGAAGGGGGAGAATGGAAGAGATGTGGTCAGGCAGGTAAAAGTTGTGGGGACGGGGGGCAGGAGAGCACGTTATTAGGGAATGTTCTCATTAATTCCTCTAAATAGTCCTTTGAGAAAGAGACAATCATTATAGCCTCATTTTTTAGATGAGAAAATACAGGCTCCGAGGGCTAGAAGTATTTGCCCAAGTGAGCCAGCCAGGGTGGGGTGGGTCTGTGAGAGCTAACCCCCCTGTCGTTGTTAATGGGAGAGGTGTGCTGTTCCCCGGGGAGGAGGAATACACTGTCTTTACCTCCCTCAGCTGCCAGTCCTCCCCTTTCTATCCAGGCCCTGCAGCTGATCTTGTCCTCTTCGCAGGCCCATCGTCTGGGAAGCCAACAGCACCCCCTTGACCTGGCGTGGCCAGCTCTCTGGCCAGGAGTTTGGCACCATCCTGGAGCCCTCCAGTGGTGGGAGGAGGCTGCAGATCTTCCAGCCGGCCATTTACACGTGCTTTGTGCAGCAGGAGCTCATGGCTCGATTCAACCCCATGTCCAACCTAGAGATGCTGGGCACGCAGAAGAAGGAGGAAGCCGGACAGTGGCAGGGTAAGGTGAACACCTTTCTCAGGCTGCTGAAGCTTATGCTGCTCATGGGCACTGTCCTGGTCCTGGTCGGGGCATTGTTCAAATTCCTCTGTTCTTCCCAGGGCAAAAGATGTGATCAGGTGCTGCTGGTGAAATAAAGTAAGCCCTTAGTACCTGAGAGAACTCGGCTTCCTGTCCTTCATCATCTCATCTATACCTTTTGTAGCACTTGTTCCATACCTGTCCCACACGAGGCTCTGAGATGCTGTGGAACCAAAACAGACCCATGGCAACAGCTAAGGGTGACCGAGCCCTTGCCTATGCCAGGTCCTGCTGTTAGCTCATTGGTAATCCCTATTCCACAGATGAGGGAACTGAAACAAGACTAGTTATTTAGTAATCAGAGGGGTTCCCCAGTTCAGACCTAGATTGCCCTGTGTTCCTCAGTGGGAAGAAGAATGAGATGACACCATTCTTGGGGTGAGCCTCCAGTATGGTAAACCATAACTGCCTTACCCAACCCTGAAGGACAAGGACTGAGATGGTGGGGCCTCCCAGGTCTGCACTGGGTCCACCTTTCCCACCTGCCCCTTGTCTTGCCCTCTTCAAATTGTGCCCAGAGCATCTAGGTCTAACCATATCTCCCCAAATTACAAAGTACTGCAGAGTGGTGGCCCAGAGAAGCCAGGCCACGTGGTCCCTCCACCCTCAGCTGCTGCAATGGCGAGAGCCCCCTCAGGGTCCAAGAAGGAGAGTCAGGCCCCTCCAATAGGACAAGGCGCCAAGCCTGGCCCAGCCAACCCATGGGAACCACCAGGCCGGCTGTTCCCAGAAATTAAACACTCCGTTTAGCCAAGTGAAAGAGTGAGAAATAAAATATTAATGTCTTTTAAAATTCATTGCCCTAATATTCCACAGTGAAACAATGACAGTATAGATCTGAAAGTCTCCCCAGAACAGATTGTTGCCTCCAAAGATAGAGCTCACCTCTCCTACCAGACATTGTGGCCAAAATACTTAAGGCTTCTACCCAGAAACTCAAAGATGTCTACGGAATGAGAGAAAGCTTATTGAAAACTAAAGGGTGTTCATTAGAAAGCAGGGGGAGGTAACCAAAACCAAATTCATTGCCATCGAGTCAGATCTGACTCATAGCAACCCCTCCTTGGGTTTCTGAGATGGTATCACTATGGAAGTAGATTGCCCAGTCTTCCTTGTAAGGAGTGGCAGGTGGGTTTGAACTGCCAGCCTTCTGGTTAGCAGTCATGCCTTAGGCACTATGCTACCAGAGCTCCTAGGGGGAGGTAGTAACAGCAAAAATACTAGCAAACATCTTTGGACACACTGGTGTGTTTAGAATTCAAATCCTTCACAAGCGTTATGTCCTTGAAATTACCCACTGGTCTAGTATTAGTTATTATCACTGTTAACCTTGTTTTGCAGCTGAGAACATCAAGGCCTAGAGGGCTCAAGCAACCTGTCTGAGGTCACACAGTGAGCTTGGGAAGGGGCCAGTAAAGGGAGACCTCTGGATGCCCCCTCTGACCTGCTCCCAGGAACCTCCTGGTTTCTTTTGCCTGTAACAGTAGCTGCTGTGTGTGTGGTAACCAGAAGTGGGATAACCAGAGCCGAGCACAGGTGCAGTACCCAGGCCCATATGAAAAACACTGAAGGCCACTCAATCCTCATAACTACTCCTGCAACTGCCCCAGTGTGCCTGGCAGACCCTCAGATGACCCCCAATAATTTCCCTCCTCCTGGTACCCATGCATTTATGTGATTCTTCCTCTTGAGTGTGGGCAGGGCCTGTGACTTGCTTCTAACGAGTAGAACGGTGTTATATAAGACTCTTTGCAGACTATAGCGAGAGATTTCTTTGCTGGCTTGATGAGGCAACCATGTTGAGGAAGCCCATGTGACAAGGCATAGTGCACAGCATCTGGGAACCATAAGCAGCCTCAAAGGCCTAAGGGTGGCCTTCAGTTGATAGTCAGCAAAGAGCCAGGCCCTCAGTCATCAGCCACAAGGAAACAAATTCTTCTGAGAGCTTGGAAGCAGATTCTTCCCCTGTCAAACCTCCTGATGAAAACATAGCCTGGTCACACCTCACCTGCTGCTTTGTAAAGCCCTGATTGAAGGACCCAGCTAAACCATGTCATGAAATGCTCATGAACCTGTGAGATCATAAATGTTTTAATCCACTGAATTTGTGCTGATGTGTTATGCAGCAATAGACCACTAATGCATCCACCCATGTCCCCCCAGTCTCCTCTGAGGTCCTCCTGCAGCTCCCTCAATCAGGTCAACATTTCCTGTATTTGCCAGTAGCTTCCTAACTCCTGCACCCAACCCCCTTCTTCCTGCCCAGGGACTTTATTTACCTCTGGAGCCTGTTAGGCCACATGTGGGCCAGGCTGAAAGCCAGCTAGGTGAAACCCCAGGACCAAACCTTAACTATGAGGGATGGCAGTTGGAAGACAAACATCAAGTTCTCCACCCTTGGATGATATAATTCGGAGGCACGGTCCTGAGCTCCAGCTGTCTACAGTGGTAACCCACTCATTAATATACCATTTGTCATCTTATCCTCTTCCCCATCTCCTTATCCCTCTTTCCTGCTTCTTGGGATTATATCTTTTTTTAAAAAAAAAAATGTTAATTTGCCATATGTGATAGTTGGAGCTGCGTGTCAACTTGGCTGGACCACAATTCTGTGTGGTTTAAGCTGTTGTGATGTGGTTTTTCCCATGATGGGATCAGATGTCTATGTTTTGAGCAGCCAATCAATTGAAAGGGAGTTTCCCTAGAGGTGTGGCCTGCTTCCAGAATATTTATGGACATCCTGGGAAAAGAGACTCTCTTCTGTGGATTGGGATTCTGTTGTGCTGCCTACAACTGTCTGTGAGCAAACAATCCACCATTTGGCCTAGAAATCTTGGATTCATCATTCTTTGGAGTCAACAGCCGGTGTACTACCTGCCAACCTTGAACTCATCAGTACCTGCAGCTCTGTGAGTTGGGAAAAGCCTCAGCTTGACATTTGATCCAAGAACTTTGGACTTGCCAGCTTCTATAAGTGTGTGAGCCATTTTCCTAAGATAAATTTCTCTTTCTCTCTCTATATAAGCTTTACTGGTTTTGTTTCTCTAGAGAACCCGGTCTAACACACCACAGTATGCAGTGTATTTCCACAGAAATTCTCCACCCCTGCCTCCTTGTTTTTGTGTGTGCGTAGAGTATTTCATTGGCTTAGGACATCATGAGTCGTATTTTGGAAATGCTGATCCACATATGTGAATCGACCTTCCTCACTTTCTTCGTGTCTGCTTACAGTCATATTCCCATTCTACCAGTTTGAGTTGATCTCCTTCCATTTCCCAGCACATGCCTTTGCTCCAGCAAGGCCAGCCTCATTGTCTGTACACATCCTTGCAGAATTCACCTCCAGACCTTTGCTCAAGCTGTTTCTTTTGCTTGGAATATGGCCCTGCCTTTGACTCCATGGCAACTTGTATTGATTTCCCTATATATTCACATTGTACTCATCTTCCCTCCTTCACTCCCTTTCTCTCTCTCTCTATTTTTAAAATTTTTTATTTGTGCAGTGTTTCCTCCCCTCCCTTCCCCTCCCTTCCCCTCCCACTCCTGGTAACCAACAAAGAAAGTTTCCTTCCATATATAAACCTTTCCTTGACTTTTTACAATAATGAAGTAATACAATATTTGGGATTATATCTTTAAATATTTTTTAAGGTTCATATTCCCTTTCCTCTCCAGGGATCTGAAGACACAAACGTTAGACCTTTTGTTGTTTCATGGGTCCTTAAGACTCAAACCATTTTCTTTCCATCTCTTTTCCTCTTTTGTTCAGATTGAATAATTTCTGTCAATCTATGTTCAAATTCATTGTTAATTCTGTCATTTTGCTATTAGGTGTATTCAATGAGTTTTTTTACATGGTTTTTCAGTTCTAAAATGTCCATTGGGTTCTCCTTTATATGTTCAATTTCCATTTCCATACTTTCTAATACTTGCTTTTAGGGGAACGCTAACTGAGTCATAGATTTGCTAACTCAGTGGCCTACAGGGGCCAAGCAGAAAACATATGTAAGGGGCAAGGGCTTGGGGGATCTGTGGGGTTGTGCAGCGTTCTTATGCTTGGGGTTTGGGGAGCAGGGACTGTGGAGATGTGCCATAAAATTCTAGCTGATTTGCCCATTGCAATGCAGGAATGTAGGCCTGGTTCTCCTGAAAGTTTCAAGTGATTCTGGAAACTGAGATGTTTTTGTGAAACTGCCCAATTTATGAATGTTGACACAAAAAAGTTTTCAAACACAATACAAGCCAAATCAAACATGTCTGCTCACTAAATTCAACCCACAAGTTTCAGTTTGTGTGCTCTTACTTCAATCTTTATTAGGGTCACATGTATATTTCCTTTTTCAATTATTCATTCAACCTACAGTGAGATGGAGCAGCGAGGGTCAGCTTCTCTGAAAAGGTGACATTTAGCTGGTCCCCAAAAAGTCAGGTAAGTAGAAATCTAGAGGAAGGGTGTATTAGTTTCCTGTTGCTGCTATAACAAATTACCACAAACTTAATGGCTTAAAACAGAACAAATTTACTCTGTTACAGTTCTAGAGATCAGAATCTGAAATGAGTCTTATTTGGCTGAAATCAAAGTTTTGGCAGGACTGCATTTCTTCTGAATCTCCGGGGGAATACCTACTTTCTTGCCTTTTCCAGTTGCTAGAGGCCACCTGTGAGGAGTCTTGATGGTGCGGTGGTTAAGGACTTGGCTACAAACTGAAAGGTCAGAGATTCAAACCCATTAGCAGCTCCACAGGAGAAAGACATGGCAGTCTGCTTTTGTAAAGATTACAGCCTTGGAAACCCAGTGGGGCAGTTCTACTCCATCCTGTAGGGGTGCTGTGAGTCAGAATCAACATGACAGTAACAAGTTTGGTTTTGGTTTTGGTTTTAGAAGCCACTTGCATTCCTTGATTTATAGCCCCTTTCTGTATCTTCAAAGTAAGCAGTGTAGCATCTTCAAATCTCTTTCGGACTCTCTGGTCTTTGCTTCCATCATTACATCTCCTTCTCTGACTCAGATCCTCCTGCCTCCCACTTATAAGGACTGTTGTGATTCGATTGGGCC